TCGTCCCATCGTCTCTACTATCACCTCCCCAACCTACAAACTGGCTCGTTTATTGTCTGAAATCCTGCAGCCTTTCACTGGAAAAACCACCTCTGCGTTACTATACTCTACTCACCTGGTATCGAAAATCAAGGGTATTTCCCTGTCCCCAGACGACCTGCTTGACAGTTTTGATGTGGTTTCCTTATTCACCAAAGTGCCTGTACCTGACACCATGGGGGTACCCCCCATGGTGAGACACTGCTTAACCAATACATACTTCACCTGGAATTGAACTTTCTACAAACAAACTGAGGGCACCTCAATGGGCTCCCCCCTATCTCCGGTTGCAGCCAACGTTTTCATGGAGAAATTTGAGACTGACGCCATCCAGACTGCCACTCTACGCCCGACCTTATGGAAGAGGTACGTGGATGACACTTTTGTCATTTGGCCACATGGCCAGCCTGCTTTAGATCAATTCCTCGACCACATTAATTCCATACACCCAGCCATCAGATTTACCATGGAAGTCGAAAAAGATGGCAAGCTACCTTTTATTTATGTCCTAATAAAATAGATACCTGATGGTTCAATGAGCCACTCTGTCTACAGGAGAGCTACCCATACGGATGCTTACCTAAAATCGGATTCCCACGACCATCCATCCCAGAAGAATTCCCTCATCAAGACTCTACACGATAGAACCCAATGCATCTCCAACCAGGAACACATTGCCAGTGAACTCAAGCACGTACACCAAGCTCTCAAGGCTAATGGTTACTCCGACTACACAATCCACAAAGCCATCACTCCAACCATGAAGAAGGATCCTCTTGAGGAGCCATTCAAAACTATCACCTTACCCTACATTGCAGGGGTCACAAAACATCTCCAAAATCCTGAATAAACACAAGATCATTCAACACAGTACATAAAATCCGTGATCTGGTCCCGTCTTAAAAGATGTGATTCCAGACATACAGTACCCTGACGTCTACAAACTAAGTTGCCTCTGTGGCAGCAGTTACATTGGAGAAACCAAACGACAATTCTCGGACCGCATCCGTGAACACAAAGCAGACGGGAAACACGGTAGGACCAACACCTCAGCCGTGGCAGACCATTATTAAAATTCAGTGGGCTCACATCACGTTGACTTCTCCAAGACGGAGGTTCTCTGCAAGCCATCTGGCTACCATGAGAGATTCGTTCATGAGGCCATCCATATATACAAAGACAGAGACAATTTCAACCGAGAAGATGGATTCTGCCTCAGCAATCATCGGAAGAACGTGAAAAACTATTTCGGGTCTTGATTGATTCTGTTCCCGTTTACGGTGACTTTCAGACCGCATTCCATTCACTGGCATTGACTATATAGCTTTTGTATTCTCTTTGCTCCGCTGCAAGTTTCCTGCTACCACTCTCCCATTGAAATGTATTTGCTTCCTCTTAGTACCATTCACGCGACGGTTAATGGTATGGTGTATAGTAGATCGTATAACAAATAGTATAATAGTGTAATGTTGAATATGATGTTTAAGGTAATTTATAGTATCGTAATTGTATAGTGAATATACAGCAGTATGGTATACAGAAGGGTTTGTAGAATAATAGTGTAATATTACAATATTTAGTCCAAGGGAAATGGTAGTGTATTGTAACGCAGTGTATAATTCAATGTTTGAGTTTGTCTATGGCAGTGTATAGTACGATCTATAGTCGTGTGATGTATAAAAAAGTTTAGTTGGAGGCATATCAATATAATGCATAATGTTAGAGCTTATATTGGTGATATTGATTATATTGATGTATACTCTTTGCTTCTTTCGGTAAAGTCACGTAGGCAAAAATAAAAAATAAAGTTAATCAAATCACGACGTTTTGGAGGCAACACAAGCTTCCATCATCAGGTGTAACTAGCACAGAAAAATTACAGTAATGGATCATTGCAGTCACGAAAACTTCAAATCTATATTGATGTAGTTTATATTTTAGTTTTTTTTATCGGTTTACTATATACGAAGGCTTTCGCGACCAATATTATTCATAATAAAGGTTTTTGGGTTAGATCGCATTATCAGATTGTTAAAACAATTAAAATTCCATATATCTCAGGAGTAACTGACAAATTAGCCCGTGTTTTGCAACAGCAAAACATTACAGTAAGATTTGGTACAGTACACAAAATTCAAAAACTAGTATCTTGCACTAAAGAGGAATTACCTAAATTATCAACAGACGGTGTATTTCGGATTAATTGTTTATGTGGACGATGCTATATTGGACAGACGGGACGTAACATCAGCATAAGACTAAAAGAACACCAAAGAAATTTTAAATTATCTCAAACACAACTGTCGGCAGTGGCAGAACATGCTTGTCAACAAGGACACTCAATTGATTTTGATAACATTGAAGTGTTGTGTAAAACTAATTATTACTGGCAAAGACTAATTAGAGAATCCATGAAAACTGAGAGAATTAAAAATAACTTTAATCGCTCTGATAGCTATAGGCTTAGTGCGGCTTGGAAGCGTATTATTAAATAATACATATTACAATTCCTTATATGGGAAACACATACTAATTAACGGATTACTATCGTAGCATATATTCACAATAACACACATAACAACTCATTACTAATCATAATCATTGACTGATTACCAATCAATTATATAATTACTGCACCAGAATGAGTTAAATTTATGACATCACCCTGCTGCTCTATTTAAGACCGGGAGCAGGTGAGGGCTTTACCATTCTGGCGAATTACCCGATGATGCTGGATGTAATTACCAGCGAAGCGTCTTATTCAAACTGTAAATGTTGTGGATTCACTCTTCAACACACCGGTGGGCTAAAGTAGTGAACTATTTGTCTTTTGTCAACGTTACACTTTTTTTGCTGATTGGCCATGTCGGGTGGTGGAGGGTTACGACGCATTTATAAATAACGCGATCTAACCCAAAAACCTTTATTATGGGCTTACTATATGGTAGTCATTATATAGTGTAGTGTATACCCACTTAATTAATGTTAATAGCTCAACTTATTGGAGAGTGTACTGAGTACATTGATTATATTGATGTAGTTTATATTTACTTTTTTTACATCGGTTTATTGTATGGTAGTAGGGTATTTGCAGTTCTTTAGAAACTCATTTTTTGTTTTCCACATAATGCACTAGCTTGATACGTGGTGGGTTGGCTGTTGCAGTTCTTTATTATTAAAATTTCCCTTCCTTTACTGCTGCTAATCCTACATACAAAATATGACTTTGAGACCCCGCCTACACATTCCACAAGGAGTGACTAACCCCATATCTGCATTTATCATCAACATGCTAAGTTCCTCTGTTGATATGTAAACTCCTTTGTCAAGGCGTTCTCCTCCTCCCACCCAGCTTAAAATACGCTGCCAAGCTTAGCGGTGTTCATTAGGACGCTGTCTTTCCGACAGCTGTGTTCTTCACCTGAGGACGGCTGCTTGCGTTGTGGCCGAAAAGTCGTGAGAATTTTATTACGTTTCATTTTTATTATTTCCCTTCTACGTGACTTTACCTAAAGAACCAAGAATATGAATCCCTGCAGTCACGAAAGCTTCAAATCGAAATCTTAACTGACTGTGATGTTTCCATCCTACCTGCCTATGTTAGCTCTTATTTCCGACTCTCGGTGTGTGTGTCTTTCTCTCTCTCTATGCCTCTCTCTTAGATCTCTCATGCTCACATGTCCTTTGCATTGCACTCTAATGCCTTTGGATTGCACTCATATTCACATGCCCTTTGGATTGCACCCTTTGGGTTGCACTCATGCCTTTGAATTGCACCACTTTTCGATTTTGCATTAACATCCTAATCTCTCACATTAACATAGCCACTTCCATGCCTTCATGGAGGAGGCCACTCTCCTATCTTACAGTTACATGCTACTTTCTCACATTAACATCACTAGCCCCGCCCATTTCTTTATGATCCTTGGGCTACTCCCATTTCAAACCTTTCAAAAACAGTCTGTCTCAGCAGCAGACCGTTCTTTCCCACCTGATGATGGACGCTTGTGTTGCGCCCAAAACGTCGAGATTTATTTTATTTTATACCTACGTGACTTTACCGAAAGAACCAAAGAGTATGGATTCCTGCAGTCACGAAAGCTTCAAATCAAGATTGAACCTGAACATGTTAAATAAATTCCAATTCGTTTCTATTTTTAATGATTAACGCAAAAACGTGTTTTTTGGGATTTCTAAGCATGAAGTTGCGTTTTTAACTCATCGCACTGTAAATATTACTGCAATAATGCGTGCACAATTTTACCATTGGAACAACGTTCATGTTAGGCACAAACAGTGGAATAGACTTAACATTTTAACAGGGTTTTATTTCAGTTCTACTTTACAGGCGGGCGTCGTTTGTGCCGAGTGAGGCGGTAACATATTGGGTTAAAATTTCCACTCGCATTAAAAAGCTGTAACTTTCCACTGTTGGACAAAAACAAGCCGATTGTCTCACATTTCCTTCCTTCCCGAGTAGGTGGTCTCTGATTTATCTGATTTGTCTCGCCATTTTCCTCACCCCGCGTCTTCATCATCATGTGCCTTCCCTCGATCCCCACTCAACAGTTCATTTTGTTCCTCTCACTGTCGTCAATTCTCCCAACGTATATTCCACTTGTGTTTTGTTTGGGGGTTCGACGAAATTGAATTGATTATAAATATGTATGTAATCAACCGTTAAATAATGGTAAAGCTGTACTTAAAACATAAGCATTCTAAGAGTCAATGATCATTTTAAAGTGGATTTGCATAATATAGATGTCAGCTTTGTGTGTTTTTATGTTAATTTATTATTTGTAGATGAGGACATTGTTATGACTAGCATGGGATATTCAACTTGGCTGACCCTGAAAATATTTCCATATCCCCTATTTCCTGCCACAATACACTTCCCTGATTGGTTGCTCTAAGCAGGCATTAAACTATAAGTGTCTGTCCAACGCTCACAGAGCTGACCACTCCTGCTGTAGTCTGCAAGGCTGGTGTCTTAAACTAATAACGGATTCTGTTCTCACTCTAGTGCTCACAGTAAATCTTCACAAGTTGCGTTGGGGCTTTTGTTACCTGCAGCGGTTTGTTTTTATTGTATTTACAGGCTTCTGATCGCTGTAGAGTTAGAGAGAGTTGCGTGGTATCGCTGCTTATCCATGGGGCTCTTCAAATTGCCGCTGTTTCTGAGCATTTCCACGACACTTTTATGTGAGTTCCTTTTTATAAAAGTTTACTAATTTATATAATCGATACAATTTGCAAGTACGTAATTTGACTCCCTTGAGACTCTTTTTACCCGGTTACACAGTAACATGCACATGAATGTTAAAATTATTTTGAAACGTGCGTATGCAACCGTGCGAATCAGAGGTGTGGGGAAAGGACAACAAAGTTGAATGAAGTTCAATTTGTTCAACCCCTAATATAATCAGATATGAAACAACAATGAAGTCTGAGAGTTAAACCACCGAGTTGGGATCGCCAAAAGAATCATGCTGCGCTTTGCTTGTGGGGTTTTAATCTGGGTGATGCTAATGCCTTGTGCTTCCAGGTGCCGGTGTTGTGAGGACAGCAGTGTGCTTCTCAGCAGAGGATTGCAGTGGGATTCCACCAAAAAAATGGTCCGAGGAGCCGCCACACTCATGCCTTGAAATCAAAGAGAAGACAAAAACAGAGAGAGGTGAGGCTAGATGCTTCACACAAAGCTGTCTTCTAATTTAAATGAGATCTACCCCCTAATTCAGCTGACACCGATATCGGGGATCCGACTCTCACATTTTAGCCCAGGGGTCGGCAACCTGCAACTCTTTGGCTGCCCCCTTGCGACTCTTTGGCTGCCCCCTTGCGACTCTTTGGCTGCCCGCTTGAGACTCTTGGCTTCCCCCTTTGCGACTCTTTGGCTGCCCCCTTGATACTCTTTGGCTGCCCCCTTGCGACACTTTGGCTGCCCCCTTGCGACACTTTGGCTGCCCCCTTGAGGCTCTTTGGCTTACCCCTTGCGACACTTTGGCTGCCCCCTTGCGACTCTTTGGCTTCCCCCCTTGCGACTCTTTGGCTGCCCCCCTTGAGACTCTTTTGCTGCCCCCCTTGAGACTCTTTGGCTGCCCCCCTTGAGACTCTTTGGCTACCCCCCTTGCGACTCTTTGGCTGCCCCCTTGCGACTCTTTGACTGCCCGAATCTTGCCGAGGCTTCTCTGAACAAAATAGTGCCGTGGCTTAGTTTGCAATTGCGAGTTTGCGTTTTAAGTCAATGTTTTTAAATATTTAATGGAAACTGGTTAGTAAGTATGGGTATTCATACGTCGGGCATTCGTAATTGGAGGACTGCTTGTATAGCTCAGTAGGCCTTTCCTGGTAAAATACAAAAAGATTTAGTTCTAAAAGTTTATTCATAGTAATAATTTGTCATTTGCACGTCCTCCCACTTCCTGCCGCTCGTCCCCTACCTCCTCAGCCCTCCCTTGGATCCCCGATCCCTCATCTGGGATGTTGGTGGATGGCAGGGCACGCTAGGGGATGTCGGTGGGGTCTGTTCATAGCTTTGGTACCACCAAACCATGCCCATGATTCCTACCACGTGATGCACCCCCTTTTACCCAGTAACAAAACACATGCATGCCACGTGACCCAGCCACCATCTCCGAATAACTAAATTGACCCATGCCACTGCAGTTGGCCCCTCTTTCAACCTCACAGCACTGCACACTGTACCAAAATATATATTTACCTACATAATTGGTTTGGGTATCACACGTGTTCTTTCAATGGAAATATAGCACACGTAGAAACCCACGTTTGGTCCACATCCACACAACTCATTTGTTGAATCTGTTCCCTTTGCTCAAGAAAGATGGGCTATACTCACTGCAAACGAAGAGCGGGCAGCCCTACCAGGCGTTCTGCGATATGAACACCAACGGAGGAGGCTGGACCCTGGTCGCCAGCGTCCACGAGAACAACATCGCGGCCAAGTGTACCACGGGAGACCGCTGGACCAGTCAGCAGGGCAGCAATTCTGCAGTTCCATTCGTAGATGGAGATAAAAACTGGGCCAACCTCAACACATTTGGTGTGCCCGAGTCGGCGACTGATGACGACTACAAGGTTTGTCGTTTACTCAAATGGCACTTCGACCATTTGTATTCGTACAAATGCAGCGGCATGAGCATGCGGGCTACTTGACCCAGCCAACGCATCCTTGCCCACCGGAGAAGCTCAGATAGGGACTGTGTCCAGATCTTTCAAGGATTTGTTAGCTACTCACACAATCCAGCCTGGTTAAACCCAGGATGGATCATTTGCAGGCCAGTTTTAAATGTTTCTAACCAGCATAGATGTTAGATTAGGGGGGGTTCATGTTTCGCAAGCATAGAGAAGGGAGGGCATGACCGGTCAAGAACTGAAATTTTGTGTTGAGTGACAAACTAGGTAGCTTCCATGAAACGTTATGCAACCAATGTAAATATAATGCCGCCTAACTAATTTTGACCAAGACCTTGCTGCCAGGCAGGTGGCTTTGTTTTTGTGGGGCTGATAATAAGGCCCCATCGCTTAGTTCAGCAGGAGGGATTGTTTTCAAATCCTTCTCAGAGTGGGCAGAATTTAGTAAATCATCTGCATATGTAACACAGTTGACCAATAGGGAGCCATCCCTTGACTCCACCTCCCCTGTTATCTATCCCAGATGGAAACTCAAGTTGTACATCCATCGAAAGTTTATTGAGCTACGTGGTCAAAAGATGTTAAATCGTGTAGGGGCTAAAGAGTATCCCTGTCCCACGCCAAAGTGAAACAGAAATTGGCTCCAACTCATTGTCACACAGCTTTACCAGGGGCCAGCTCACCATCATAAAGGTCCGTGATGATTGTGAGCAGAGGGTCTTGGACTCAGAAAGCATGAAGAGCCCGGCCTATTGATGGTGCCATAGGTCTTGACTAGGTCAATAAAACAGATATGTAGGTCGTGTTGAAATTCCATACACCTCTGCTGTAGCAAACGGACGGAGAAAATGGTGTCTGTGCACGACTGCTCCTATCGAGAAGCCTCTCCTCAGCATGTCTGGCAAGGCGGTGTTTGACAATACTTGCCAGGATCTTTTCCGGCACACCGAGGAGGAAGATGCCCTGGTAGTTGCAATCAGTGTGGTCCCCCTTTTAAAAATGAGCACCACCATGGAATCCTTACAATCCTGCGAAACCTGTCATGTGGACCAGATGGTTGTAATGATGTAACATAGGGTATGTCTGCACACAATCACCGTCCTCCCTCAGCAGTTCGCTTGAGAAGCAATCTCTACCTGGTGCTTTACCTGGTCTCAAGCTCCAGATCATCCTTTGCACTTCCTTAATAGATGGCACGACACCCAACGACTCATGGGGAGCAGCTACTTCCTCCAATAGTTGAGGCACTGTGGCCCTAGCAGTGTCAACCCCACCTTGTCCCATGATGTTATTTGAGTTGAAGGGGTTTCCCTCCAAGACCTGACAGAAATGCTCAAACCTGCAAACCCGTTCTTGGGGGTTAGAGGTCGGATCAGTGTTCTTTCCCTTAAGGATGGTAATAGATGTGGTGCTGCAATTACTTTGTAGAAGCGAAACTTTGAACCCAACAACTTTTAGGAAGGAACCAGAGACAAATGTAGAAGCAGGTAGCTTATACGTACATAAAATTTGTGTCCATCCATCACGCTGTGGATCTCCCAAATGATATGTAGGAGGAAATCATACAAAAGATAAAACAATTGCTTTGAAGGTATGCCAACATAGACACATATATATATGATATTGCTTGATTATTTTAAGTGAAGGTGCTGAAACAGGCGAAGAAAATGTTCATTCGTAAATACGCATGTCCGCTTTGTTAAGTTGTTTATTGTAGTTGTGCTGCGTGTGTGTTTTATTTATTCAGAACCCGGGATATTACGATCTGGAGGCAAATGACATAGCAGTGTGGCATGTTCCTAACGGGACTCCTTTACCTGCGTGGAAGACATCATCGCTCTTTCGCTACCACACGGAGTCGAAGTTTCTGGCTGCCTTTGGAGGAAGCTTTTATTCCTTTTTCAAGGTAGAGTCCTTTGTCTGACTTGTGACTCATGAGGTTGATAACCTTATATCAAAATTGTACTGGGGTGTTATATGCCTTTTGGCCAAACCACCTTGAAGGCCCTAAACTTTTCAGATCTCAGAAGCTAATCAGGATAGATCTTGCATAGTGATTTAATAATTGACCTGCAAGGTTTAATTTAATGGATATATTTCTGGAGCTCAGCCCCAGATAACTCTGGTGGAAATTAATGCCCATTGACCAGGAGGTACAGGTTGTTATCGCGCCGTCAGGCCTTTACAGTGGATAGCAATGGACAGTGGAGCGATATATGTCCCTATGTATGTCTATGCCTCCACATGTATGCTCCCTACCTCCACCAATCTGCACTTGTCCAATGTGCTGATGTATGGCCACGTACCCCGATGACCCACAAAGGTGTTGGTAGACCTTAATCTAGCAATGATTTGACGAAAAGGAAAACGCATACATGATATGGGTGATCTTAATGGGAGCGTACACATGAATAAACACATTTTAAGTGGCGTAACATTGTTCTGTTGTTTTCAGGTAAATATTGATTGATGGTTCTCCTTTTGTTTGCAGAATTTCTTCCCATTAACGTACAATTCCGGAAGCTGTCCCACCAATAACGGGCCTGCCTACCCCATTGTTTATGACTATGGAAGTGACGCAGTCGTCAATTCTCTCAGCTGCCCTAACTGTTTGAGTAAGTATTGCTTATACTGGTACTTTATCTGCAATGCGGTATGATTAACAGATTTTGACTTAAAACTTTCGTGTCTGCAGGAATTCATATTCTTTGGTTCTTTCGGTAAAGTCACATAGATTGAAAAATAATAATAAAAAAGAAACTGATAAAAATAAATAATAAATTTGAAATAAAAATAATAAGAACAACTAATGTAGACTGTAGCCTGGTTCTTAACGTCGGTGAGTGCACTGGCAGTCTATAATGTAGACTGTAGCCTGGTTATTAACCAGAGTGAGCATACTGGCAGTCTTTAATGTAGACTTATTGTTGGTTCTTTCAGTAATAAAAATAAAATAAAAAATTAAAACAAAAACCAAGACGTTTCGATCGCAACACAAGCGGTTGTCATCAGGAAAAGGGGGGTTAGCCTCTAAAGGCAAACTGTTTATAAAGGCTGAGAGATGGGCGTAGCCCAAGTGTGTCAGCAGCATGGGTGGGGCAGCTAATGTTAATGTTGGAGAAAACAACGATACCGGCAGTGGGTCTACACCAATCAAAGGGCCGCAAGGCAATCATTGCACCTCGCTCCACACACCCACCCTGCTGACGGCGGAGGTTGACAAGAAAACAAAAAATCAAGTCATGACCCAAAGTGGTTGATGACATATTTCCAATTATTTTTGGGTTTATAAAAATCCTCTCGGTTGAAATTGTGTCTGTATATATGGATGGTTTCATGAACGTTTGCAAAGTACTATTGTCTTAGAAAAATAAATTTCGTGTGAGCCAGCCGTATTAAAATAATGATCAGCCACGGCAGAAGAATTGGTCCTACCGTCTTTCAAATCTTCATTATGCTCACGAACACGGTCCGAGATATGTCGCTTAGTCTCCCCAATGTAAAGGCTGCCGCAAATACAGCTTAGTTTGTAGACTCGGGGATATTGCATGCCAGGAATCATGTCCTTCCCAGATGGGATCAGATCACGAATTCTATGTACTGTGTTAAATCGGACCTGGATCTTGTGTTTATTCATGATTTGGGAAATATTTTGGTTACCCCTGCTATGTATGGCCAGGTGATGGTTTTGATTGGATCGTCAGATGGCTCCTTCATAACGGTTGGGGTGATGGCTTTGCAGATTGTGTAGTCAGGATATCCATTCGCCTTGAGAGCTTGGTGTCCGTGTTTGAGTTCACTGGATAGGTGTTCATGGTCGGAGATACATTGAGCTCTATGGTGTAGCGTTTTGATGAGGGAATTATTCTGGGATGGATGGCGGTGGGAAACAGGTTTTAGGTAGGCGTCAGTATGGGTTACTTTCCTGCAGACAGAATGGCTCATTGAGCCATCTGGTCTCTTTTTGATTAGGACATTCGATAAAGGTAGCATGCCATCCTTTTATACCTCCATGGTGAATTTGATGGTTGAGTGTATGGAATTGATGTGGTTGAGGAATTGGTTCAGAGCCGGTCGGCCATGTGGCCAGATGACAAACGTGTCATCCACGTACCTCTACCACAAGGACGGGCGTAGAGTGGATGTCTGGATGGCGTCCATCTCAAAATTTTCCATGAAAATATTGGCTACAACTGGAGATAAGGGAGAACCAATTGGGGTACCTTCAGTTTGTTTATAGAATTTTCTATTCCAGGTGAAGTATGCATTGGTGAGGCAGCATCTCACCAGCACCGGTACATCAGAATTCAATTTTTGTTGGACCAAATCTTCAATGATTGCAATAGTATCGGGCACAGGAACTTTGGTGAGCAAAGAAACTACATCGAAACTCACGAGCAAATCACCTGGGGACAGTGAGATGTCTTTAATTGATGATACTAGGTGAGCCGAGTTCAGTACCGAAGAGGTGGTTTTACCAGTGAATGGCTGCAAGGTCTTAGGCAGATATCGGGCCAGTTTGTAGGTGGGTGAGCCAATGTTGGAGACGATGGGAAGAAGGGGTGTACCTTCTTTATGATTTTTGGTAGGCCATATTATCTTATTCATATTCTTGGTTCTTTCAGTAAAGTCACGTAGAAGGTAAATAATAAAATAATAATAAAACATAATAAAATAAAATTATCACGACGTTTCGGCTACAACACAAGCAGCCGTCCTCAGGTGAAGAACAGAGCTGTCGGAAAAACAGCATCCTAATGAACACTGCTAAGCTTGGCAGCGTATTTTAAGCTGGATGAGAGGAGCAGAGCGCCTTGACAAAGGAGTTTACATATCAACATAGGCATTTAGTATATTGACGCTAAAGAACTGCAACTACCTCTACTACCATACAATAAACCGATGTGAAAAAACTATATATAGACTATATCAATATAATCAATGTACTCAATATACTCTCCAATAAGCTGAGCTATTAAAATTAAGTAACTTGGTATACACTGACTATATATTGACTACCATACAGTGAACCGATAAAAAAACTAAAATAAACTACGTTAATATATTTTGATTTAAAGCTTTTGTGACTGCAGGGATTCATATTCTTGGATCTTTCGGTAAAGTCACGTAGGTATAAAATAAAATAAATCAAGATGTTTTGGGCGCAACACAAGCGTCTGTCATCAGGTGAGAAAGCATGTTCTGCTGCTGAGGCAGACTTTTAAAAGGTTTGAAATGGGTGTAGCCCAAGGGTTATAAAGTGGCCGGGGCTAGTGATGTGAATGTGAGAAATTAGCATGTAACTGTAAGATCGGAGGAGAGCGGCCTTCTCGACGAGGGAGTGCAACCCAACGGGTGCAATCCAAAGGGCATGTGAGCATGAGAGTGCAATCCAAAAGACGTGAGCATGAAAGTGTGATCCAAAGGACATGTGAGCATGAGAGTGTAATCCAAAAGACATGAGCATGAGAGTGCAATCCAAAAGACATGTGAGCATGAGAGTGCAATCTAAAAGACATGTGAGCATGAGAGTGCAATCCAAAAGACATGTGAGCATGAGAGTTCAATCCAAAGGTGTGAGAGTGCAATGCATGAGAGATCTAAGAGAGAGGCATAGAGAGAGAGACACACACAGAGAGTCGGAAATAACAGCTGACATAGGCAGGTAGGATGGAAACATCACAGTTCGTTAAGATTTTACCTGGTTAAAAGCGTCCTTCCAATGATTGCTCAGTTTGTACCCATCCTCTTGGTTGAATTTGTGTCTGTGTTTATATATCTGGATGGCTTCATGAACAAATCTCTGAAGGTAGCCGATAGGTTTGCAGAGTACCTCCGTCTTGGAAAAATACATTTTATGCGAGCCCACAGAGTTAAAACAATGATCGGCAATGGCAGAGGTATTGGTCCCACCGTGTTTCAGATCTGCCTTGTGTTCACGAACACGGTCCAAGGCATGTCGTTTCGTTTCCCCAATGTAACTGCTGCCACAACCACAATTCAGTTTGTAGACACCAGGAATCACATCATTTACAGATGGGATTAAATTTTGTGTACCGTTTTGAAACGATCTTGTGTTTGTTTAAGATTTTGGAAATCTTTTTGGTAACCCCCGGGACAGACGGGACGTGACATCAGCATAAGATTAAAAGAACACCAAAGAAATATTAAATTATCTCAACCACAACTGTCGGCAGTGGCAGAACATGCTTGTCAACAAGGACACTCAATTGATTTTAATAACGTTGAAGTGTTGTGTAAAACTAATCATTACTGGCAAAGACTAATTAGAGAATCCATTGAAATCGAGAGAAATAGAAATAACTTTAATCGCTCTGACAGCTACAGGCTTAGTGCGGCTTGGAAGCGTATTATTAAATAATGTTGTGAGCCCACATCGGGGAGCCCTTTGATGTGAGCTTTGAGAAGTGGGTGTTACCCGCAGCATTCTATCAAAAAGCTGCTTAGCCCAGCCCTCCCACCCACCCACGCCCCCTTACTGACTCCTCCCCCTCCCTTAACCTGTATATAATCCAAGGTCGTCTCTGAACTGTGCTCCTAACACAGACATTCTGCGTTGACTTTTCCACCTGAAGACGGAAGCTTGTGTTGCCTCCAAAACGTCGTGATTTAATTATTTTCTTTTATTTTGTTTTATTTTATCTACGTGACTTTACCAAATAAAACCAAAGAGAATGCATATTACAATTCCTTATACGGGAAACATACGAATTAACGGATTACTAACGTAGCATATAATCACAATAACACACATTACAACTAATCTACAACTCATTACTAATAATAACCATTGACTGATTTCCAATCGATTATATAATTGTAATATCCCCCCCCCCCCTGCCTCAAATCACTGCACCTGAATGAGTTAAATGATGACGTCACCCTGCTGCTCTATTTAAGACCGGGAGCAAGTAAGAGCTTTACCATTCTGGCGAATTGCCCGATGATGCTGGATGTAATTACTAGTGAAACGTCGTACTACTAAAACTGTAAATGTTGTGGATTCACTCTTCAACGCACCGGTGAGCTAAAGTAGTGAACTATTTGTCTTTTGTCAACGTGACACTTTTTTGCTGATTGGCCATGTCGGGTAGTGAGGGTTACGACACATTTATAAATAACGCGATCTAACCCAAAACCTTTATTATGAACCCGTGCTATGTACGGTAAAGTGATGGTTTTGGTTGTATCCTCAGAAAGTTGTCTCTGCATGGCTGAGGAGACAGCTTTGCGGATTGTTGATAACGTAGGCAATTCATCTTGACTTAAAACTTTCGTAACTGCAGGAATTAATATTCTTGGGTCTTTCAGTAAAGTGACGTAGATAGGTTCAAAGAAAATAACAAAAACTACGACGTTTCGATCGCAACACAAACAATCGTCATCACGAGAAAAAAGTATTTTTTCTCCTGATAATTTTTTATATGAAATTTTTTTTTTGTCCTGATGACGATTCCTTGTGTTGCGATCGAAACGTCATAGTTTTTTTTGTTATTTTTGTTATTTTCTTTGAACATGTCTACGTGACTGTAACGAAAGACCCAAGAAATAGGCAATTCATCTCTAGTACAATATAATAGTTTTAGAATGTTGTGTACCATGCCAAATCTTACTCAGATTTTTAGTTTTTCCAAAACTCCAGCTAATTTGTCGGTTACTCCTGCAATATGGTAATTTAATTTTGATCGCTTTCAGCAGTATTGCTGTTCGATCTTGGTTTGGCATTCAATGCTCTGTTAATTTGAGCATAATTGTAGCCATTTAATTGTAGCGCTTCTTTAACATGATTAATCTCTCTTCTCAGACTTTCACCATCTGACTCTGTTTTGGCCCGATGTATGAGTGTCTTGATGAGAGAGGATTTATGTGCGGGTGATGATGGAAATCTAAATTCAGATGACTAATCTATTATATAGTTACAATACCGACTCCTCCCCCTCTGATCTCTGCACCTCATGGGTTCAGTGATGACGTCGTCCTGCTGCACTATTTAAGACCGGAAGCAGGTGGATTGCTTCACTATTCAGGCAAATAGACCGATGATGCTGAATGCAACTATCAGCGAAACGTTGTTCTACTCAAATTGTAAATGTTGTGGATTTACCCTCCAACACACCGGTGGTCTGTAGTAGTAACTAAATGACGCGTTGTTTACGTGACAAACCTTACTGGCTGTGTCTGGTGGTGGAGGGTTACGACAAAGTTATACTTGATAATTGGTGTTTTACCCTTTCATCTGGTAACAAACCTGACACCTTTTTTACAAGGAGCCATGTTTACATTGACCACAATACCTGCGGTCGGAACGCAAACAAAAAACAACAGCTCTGATAATGTTTGCACTGTCCTTGAAATTGATTGGTCCACACCGAAGACAGCTTTCTTTAGAGCCTCGTCTCACATGGTGTTGGACCAGAAGACGCCAAAAGGCGCACAACTCAAAGACAATGCACCATCAGATTATGAGAGCTCGAGTTAAGCATTTACACCATTGGAAACCTCATTTGCCAGTAACAAAATATGATAATTGTTTTTTTACCATTTTATCTGGCAACAAAACTGACACCTTGTGAGACGAGGCTCTAAAGAAAGCTGTCTTGGGTGTGGACCAATCAATTTCAAGGACAGTGCATACATTATCAGAGTTGTTGTCTTTTGTTTGCGTTCCGACTGCAGGTATTATGGTCAATGTAAACATGGCTCCTTGTAAAAAAGGTGTTAGTTTTGTTGCCAGATGAAAGAGATAAAAACCTATAATCATATATTGTTACTGTCAAATGAGGTTTCCAATGGTTTCAAAGTTATACTTACGCGATCTAACCTAAACATCTTTTATGAATTCACTATCTGTTCCAAATATCTTGTACACAAGCTCCTAAACTGAACACCTTAATTAATTTATTTTTAGTAGTTTACAATTACGATAAAAAATAAAGGTATTTTATGCACCCGTGATTCCTAATGCGAGGGACAAAGCAAACCCCTATTCCCCCCCTCCTACCCACAAATATAGAAGTCAAACTCCGCCTATACCAACCAATTCTCAATCCATCTCATCTGCCCAACCTCCTGGATTGAGGGCACTTTGTTGGTGAAGTTCCCCGCGAATCGGAACTTTGCAACTGACCTCTCTGATCGCTGTGATTCCTCGATCTATGTTGCCCAATTTGACACCCCCCCCACCCCTTGTGGACGATTGTAGGATAACCTTTTCTGCATTGAGGGCCCTTCGTTGTTGGCCTCTTCAACAATTCTCTTGAGACTGGCACGGTGCCCAACACTTTTTTTAACGATGGCTGCAGTCACCCCACTCTTGAAAAAAGCGAGGTTTTTTGTAACAATCATTATCCTAAAGCTGTGGAAAAGTGAGCGGTGCCGTGTGGACCATTTAAGCATTCCAGAAATGCAGAAGCTTCATTGTTAATGAGAAGTGAAGTTGACCGTTATAAATGCATGCAATAAATGAGACAAATTTCCACAGGCGGAACGACATCAGGGTTTGTGCAATTCAGAGTGTTTAACAACGAGAGAGCCCCATTTGCCATCTGCTCTGGGTTGAAGGTCGTCTCCAACTGTGACACTGAACATGTGAGTACTTCAAATACTTGCTGTCGAGCACGCTGCTACACTGATGGCAGCACAGACCAGTGCATACAAATACAGTATACACTATATCATGGAACCTCTTTGCTAGTAACAATGTATAAAAATAATAATAGCTTTAACCCTTTATGGCAAATAAAACACGTTTCAAGATTACTCATTGTTTTTTTCGGTAAAGTCACGTATGTAGAAATACAATAAAATTATATTAAAACAAAAAAAACAAAAAAAACAATCACGACGTTTCGATCACAACGCAAGCGATCTTCATCAGGTGTCAAGAACAAATCACGGAGGTAAATACAGCAAAAAGATGAGAGACGAGAATTCAGCAAACCTGAAAAAACATTATGTGAAGCACATCCAGTCAGGCCAACAACACAGTTAGACACTTCCTGGCGGACCACGAATTTCAGAAGAGTGTTAAATTTCGTGTTCAACTGTTGTATTTACCTCCGTGATATGTTCTTGACACCTGATGAAGATCGCTTGCGTTGTGATCGAAACTTCGTGATTGTTTTTTGTTTTAATATAATTTTATTGTATTTCTACATACGTGACTTTACCGAAAAAAAACAATAAGTAATTTTATGCAGTCACGAAAGCTTTAATACTTTATTACGTTTCAAGATGTTGAAACAGCAAATATATACCTTTTGCAAGGAATCGAGTCTGCATGGGACGTGATGTGACGTCATCGTCGCGCTTGTGCCAGAATATAATGCACTTTTAAGCATTGAAGGTTTCCTGGCGAGGAGTCAGACACAGGTATTATGGGTAATTGACCGAGATAGACGGCTGATAATATTTACCACCTGTGCTCCCCACCGATGCTTTGCTCGTTTCTCTTTCGCATCACGCCTTCAAATCAAAATAACTTTAACCGTTTGGATAGCTACCGTCTTAGTGCTGCGTGGAAGCGAATCATCAAATAATAAATTATTTAAATGCATGCCTACGAAGGGCAACGTACTTCAATAGTGATTACCGTTGGTAGGGCTATTTTAATAAACACAATAGACAGGAAGGACAAGTTCAAAGGGCTCGCATAATGCACACGCATAATACTCTTTGGTTCTATTCGGTAAAGTCACGTAGGTAAAAAAAAAATTCACGACGTTTCGGCCACAACACAAGCGGCCTTCATCAGGTGAAGGGACCAGCCTGTCTCGAAGACTGCGCTGGAGTGAAACAGAGCCAAGCTCAGACTGCGACCTTTAAGCTGTGTGAGAGGGATTAAGGTGCCTCGACAAAGGAATTAGCATATAAAAAAATAGCATTTGATTGGCGGACTTAGCATGATGAAAGGTGTAGCTCGCGGCAGTGCACCTTTAAGCCGTGTGAGAGGGATTAAGGTGCCTTGACAAAGGAATTAGCGTAAAAATTAGCATTTGATTGGTGGCCTTATCATGATGAAAGGTGTAGCACAGTGATCGGCACCGGCAGTGCACCAGCCTGTGCTGCGAAAGTTTGGGGTACCACTACTTGAAAAAATATACTGTACCAATGAAAATGAGTTTGATGTTTAGTTCGATTTAGAACATCTTTCCAATGGTTGCTTAATTTGAAACCATCTTTTCGGTTTAAATTGTGTCTGTGTTTGTAGATCCGAATTGCCTCGTGAACAAATCTCTGATAAAAACCTGTGGGTTTGCAAAGAACCTTGGTATCGGAGAAAATTATATCGTGATCACCCACAGCGTTGTAACAGTGATCAGCCACGGCAGAAGAATTCGTTCTGCCGTGTTTCAAATCTGATTTGTGCTCGCGAATTCGGTCAGAGACATGTCGCTTCGTTTCCCCGATATAGCAATCACCGCAGGTACAACTCAATTTGTAAACCCCGGGGTACTGTAAATCAGGAATGACATCCTTCACAGATGGGATCAGATCACGAATTTTATGTACTGTATTGAACCGGACCTGGATCTTGTGTTTGTTTAGAATTTTGGAGATATTTTTCATAACGCCTGCTATATATGGTAGTGTGATGGTTTTGACCGGAGTATCAAGTGGTTGTTTCTGTATGGAGGGAGAAACAGCTTGGCGGATGGTACGGTCAGAGTATCCATTCCTTTTGAGGGCCAGGTGTACATGTTTTAATTCACTGGTCAGGTGGTGTTGGTCCGAAATGCAATGAGCCCTATGGTATAAAGTTTTGATGAGAGAATTCTGTTGGGCTGGGTGGTGGTGGGAATCAGGCTTCAAGTAGGAATCTGTGTGGGTGGGTTTCCTGTAGACAGAATGCCCCAATGAGCCTTCAGGTCTCCTCTCAAACAGAACATCAAAGAATGGTAGCTTGCCATTTTTCTCCACTTCCATGGTGAATTTGATGGCGGGATGTCTGGAATTGATGTGGTGTAGGAAAAGGTTCAGAGCTGGGAGGCCATGTGGCCAAATGACGAAAGTGTCATCCACATATCTCTTCCACATGGAAGGTCTGAGGATGGAAGTCTGGATGGTGTCCGATTCAAATTTCTCCATGAAAACATTGGCTATCACTGGTGACAAGGGGGGACCCATGGGAGTACCCTCATTTTGCTTGTAGAAGGAACCATTCCAAGTGAAGTAAGTGTTGGTGAGACAGTGCCTGACCAGCGTAGGTACCTCAGGGTTTAGTCCATGTTGTACCAAATCTTCAATTATATCAATGGTATCAGGTACCGGGACTTTGGTGAACAAGGAGACCACATCGAAGCTGACAAGGATATCGTCAGGGGACAGTACAACGTCTTTGACCATAGAAACCAATTGGGCTGAGTTAAGTACTGCTGAGGAGGTCTTGCCAGTGAAAGGTAGCAAGGTATCCGACAGAAAACGTGCTAGCTTATAGGTAGGGGAGTTGATCGTGGATACGATGGGTCGTAGTGGAGTGACTTCTTTATGAATCTTTGGAAGACCATAGAATCTAGGGGGTCTTGCAGCAGAAGGTTTTAGGGAGGGACGTTTAGTTGGTTCAATTTGGGAGGTCGAACTTGTGATGATCTTGTTGGTTTTCATAGTTAGGCTACTAGTAGAGTCATTTTTAATTTTTGAGTAACTACCATAATTGAGAAGGTCCTGAATTTTATTGTTGTATGAGTTTTTATCCATAATTATAGTGGCATTGCCCTTGTCGGCTGAGAGGATGACTATATCATGTCTCTCTTTTAATTTCGTGAGTTCAGAGCGTTCATCTTTGCTGATGTTGCTAACGGGTTTCTTAGCATTCTTAAGAATAGTAGCTATTTCAGCTCTCGCGACCTCTGCTTGGATGTGTCCTATATCTTTGAGGGCTACATCGACCTGAGAAATGATATCATCTATCGGTATATGTTTTGGGGTGACAGCGAAATTTAGTCCTTTAGCCAATACTGTTTTAAGATTGTCCGAAATCGGGGTGCTACTCTGATTGATAACAATTTTGTTAGCGTCTAGTTTTGTGATCTGTGGAACCGGGTTTTTCTTTGATAGGTGGTTGAATTTAGCAATTAGGTTAGCTTTGCATTTGATTGAAAGTGAATCGGCAGATGAAGCAGTCATGTTGTCTACGTGGTTCCAATCAGAAGGAGACATTTTTTGTGTTAACGTTAAATGAGCTTGTAGGAGAGCCCTGTCTAAAGTATCGAGTTCAAAACGGAGTAGTCTTATCCTCTCTGAGATTAAAGCGAGGCTGGCCTTAAACAGAATCTGTTTAGAGTTCGGTGAGGACACAGCAGCAGAAGTGAGTGTTAAGGCGATGGGCATTACCTTGTGGTCGCGGCATCTTTTGAGGAAGGTCAGCATCTCGATGAGCTGTGACTTCTTGTCCCGTTGTCTGTTAAAAGCTCTAACAGATAGGTGAAAACCCTCCCCGTAGAGGCTATCAATTCTAGATTTGAAGCCTTCGTGACTGTAAGGATCCATACTCGTTGGTTCTATTCGGTAAAGTCACGTAGGTAAAAAAAAAAATCACGACGTTTCGGCCACAACACAAGCGGCCTTCATCAGGAGAAGGGACCAGCCTGTCTCGAAGACTGCGCTGGAGTGAAACAGAGCCAAGCTCAGACTGCGACCTTTAAGCTGAGCATGAGAGTGCAATCCAAAAGACATGTGAGCATGAGAGTGCAATCCAAAAGACGTGAGCATGAGAGTGCAATCCTAAAGACATGTGAGCATGAGAGTGCAATCCAAAGGTGTGAGAGTGCAATGCATGAGAGATTTAAGAGAGAGGCATAGAGAGAGAGAGAAACAGAGAGTCGGAAATATCAGCTGACATAGGCAGGTAGGATGGAAACATCACAGTCAGTTAAGATTTTACCTGGTTAATAGCGTCCTTCGAATGATTGCTCAGTGTGTACCCATCCTCTTGGTTGAATTTGTGTCTGTGTTTATATATCTGGATGGCTTCATGAACAAATCTCTGCAGGTAGCCGATAGGTTTGCAGAGTACCTCCGTCTTGGAAAAATAAATTTCATGCGAGCCCACAACGTTTAAACAATGATCGGCAATGGCAGAGGTATTGGTCCTACCGTGTTTCAGATCTGCCTTGTGTTCACGAACACGGTCCAAGACAAGTCGTTTCGTTTCCCCAATGTTACTGCTGCTACAACCACAACTCAGTTTGTAGACACCAGGAATCACATCCTTTACAGATGGGATTAAATCACGGATTTTGTGTACCATTTTGAAACGAACCTGGATCTTGTGTTTGTTTAAGATTTTGGAAATCTTTTTGGTAACCCCCGGGACAGACGGGGCGTAACATCAGCATAAGATTGAAAAAAACACCAAAGAAATATTAAATTATCTCAACCACAACTGTCGGAAGTGGCAGAACATGCTTGTCAACAAGGACACTCAATTGATTTTAATAACGTTGAAGTGTTGTGTAAAACTAATCATTACTGGCAAAGACTAATTAGAGAATCCATTGAAATCGAGAGAAATAGAAATAACTTTAATCGCTCTGACAGCTACAGGCTTAGTGCGGCTTGGAAGCGTATTATTAAATAATGTTGTGAGC